AAATCAAAAATTACAAACTTAATTATAATTTACAAATTTATGTTTAGTGTTACTCATTAAAAACTAGTCAATGGTAAAGTAACCTACATTAAGACAAGTAATAAAAAAAGAAGTATAAGGAACAATAATATTAAAAAAGTTGGAATTAGCACAAAAATATAAAAGAGTAACGCTAAGAAGAATGAAAAAAAAAAGAGAGAATGAATGGATGAGATAATATGAGTAAGAAAATATGTAAGAGAAAACAAAAACTTAATCACACAAGTTCAGAAGGATAGAGTGACAGAAAATAATTTTTGAAGAAAAATATGAAAAAACAAATTAAAGGCAAATTAAAAATATATATACATACACCACTATATACAATATTAAAGCCTATAAAAGATTCCAAACCCGGAATAAAAAATGAATTTTTAAAAGAAGTTAAAATTTTTTATAAAATTTGCTATGAATATATCGAATAATGGATAATGAACTTTAGACCATTGAATTGCTTCAAAAGGACCCTTCTAAATAGTAAAATTTAATGGAAAAAAGTTTCTTTAGTAATCAAATTTGTAATAAAGGAAGTAAATGATATTGTTATCAATGACAATATTCTCTTTGAAGAAATTCGAAGAGTAAATTTATATTTAAATGAAGAAAAATTGAAGAAATGAAACAATGAGAAAATAGAACTTGACAAAAGATGGGTAGAAATCTTTCGGCATTTTAGAGTAGAACCCATCCCACATAAAAATTTAAAAGTTTTAATAGAAATTTCTTTGTTGTCGAGGTACTAATGCTGCTGTTGAAAGGGTATTTTCACAAAGGAATGATGGAGCAGTGAGAAGTTGCAAATTTCTGTAAAAACATTATATGCCGTCTGAACAGTCAAATTTAATATGCAATTTAATATGTTCTGATGCGGCTACATTAATATGACGAATATCCTCATTTAGCAAAAAAAATCTACTCTGAAGAAAAATATGTTTTAAAAAGAAAATAAAGGTTTTATCGCTTTTTCTTCTTTTTTTTTCACCCATGAAATACTTGCAAAGTGTACTCTTTTAAACAAAAGATAGTTGGGCCCCTTTAGATAATTACAAATGAAATTAGATTTTTGCACACCACTCTTTAAACAAATTTTCAAAAACCCAATTTGAGTTTTTAGAAATACCTAGGCCTAGGCTCTGACGACAACGTTTATAAATAGCAACAATTTTTGGCAAATTTTATTTAAAATTTTTCACATGAAAGTTTAAATGTTGCCACTATTTTAGATTTTCATTGAATAAATTCCTATATAAAAATATATTTTGTATAAAATATTTATGGAGTATTAATCTTTCTTACTATCAGCTATCAAGCTGATTAAACTGGCTTGATAAGCTTCAAAATTAATCTGAAGCTAATGAGTTTATAGCTGAAGCTGATTAAACTGGCTTGATAAACTTCAGCATTAATCTGAAGCTAATGAGTTTATAGCTGAAGCTGATTAAACTGGCTTGATAAACTTCAGCATTAATCTGAAGCTAATGAGTTTATAGCTGAAGCTGATTAAACTGGCTTGATAAACTTCAGCATTAATCTGAAGCTAATGAGTTTATAGCTGAAGCTGAAATATCGACTTATAGACAACATAGTTAATGTGATGTATACACATTGTAATAACAAATGTGTTTTTTTTATACTCGAATACTTATTTTTTTGTTTTATGATACATTTTAAAAAAAATATTTTAAGCACATGTTTTTTTATAAAATTTAATACTTAGAAAATACTGATTTTTGCTGAACATTTTTCAGATAAAAATTATATTTTCTTACATTACTCTAATCAAGGTAATAAACAAGGGTAATATTTACTCAAATCATTATATTTGTCCCACAAAGCTAATACAGTTCTATTATACATAAGTCTATCGCTAACTCTAATAATAAAACGTTTTTACACATTCTGCAAAATACAAGATATACATAAGATACATATCATATAAGACCTATTACCTGTAACTTAACATTTTATCGTGTTTAAGTTACTTTAATTCAATTATAATAAATAAGCATATGGTTATAATCTATATAATAACTATTATCTTTTTTTAGTTGTTATTTATGTCAAAGTTATCAAGTTAAATTAAAGTTTTACAACTAATGTTTGAATGCAAAAGTTCATACCAATAAAAATTTTATCAATATTTTAGTTATAGGGAAAACTTAAGTATTATATTATAAGTATTTACAAGTATAGGTATTGTAAGTATAAGTTGTTATTATGTATATTATGAAATGATTGTTGATATTGCAAGTGTACAATTTAAAATCAAAGTCAAAAAATATCAATGATTAAAAAATGAGGTTGATGCATAACAATAAAGCCATTTTATCTTTATTTATAATTGACGGTGGGTAAACTCCGTTAAAATCAGTCATTTTGCTTGCATAAAATATAGAAAAATCAATGTTAAAGAGCGGATCTGTAAAAACAATTTAAAAGCTTTTAATTAAAATCAAATCAAAATCAAATCAAATATATTCTGAATAAAGTTGTTACATCAAGGACATTTACAAATAGTAATTTGTACTAATATAAAATAAACACCTGTCAAACTAAATAAAAATAAGATGGAGATAGTAATAATAATAATTATAATACAAGTTGGAATAATAAAAGTAGTAGTAGTGATTATAAAGATAAAAAAAAATAATAGTAGCGATTATAAAAAGAATATACTATAATAATAATAAAAATAATAATAATAATAATAATAATAATAGCAATAATAATAATAATAATAACAACAAAAATAATAACAACAACAATAATAACAATTACAATAATATTCATTATGATAAAAATATAGTAATAATAACAACAACAGTGATAAGAGAATACTATAGAAACATATCAGTTTATAATAATAAATTTAATAATTGATATTAAAATTAGTAATATATCACGATAGAAAAGAGAAAAAATAAAAGATGAATAAAAGCACCGCGTTAGGGTTATAAATAATAAGTTGTAAAAAGGTATGAGATTTATAAAGAGTGTTTTTCTAAAAAATGGTTAAAGAGGGCAGTTTTAAATTTTGAGAATGATTTAAAAGATTTTAATTGGGAAGGGAGATTGTTCCAGGTTTGTATGCTTTTATGTTGTATGGATTCGTAGACGAAATGAACAGTTCGGTATTTAGGTACAGATAATTTAAAGTTGAGAGCAGATCGTAGAATATATTTACAGTTTTCCCTATAACTAAAAAAGTTGATAAACGTAAGAGGTAAGTTATTATGATTTTGGTTCCAAACAAATAGACAATTTGATAGCTGAATAAGGTCACACAATTTAAGGACTTTAGAAAAAAATAGAGTATGCTACAGTTCGAATTAGTATGTTGAAAGTAAATTAATTTTTGAGCTTTGTTATGGAGATAAGTTAGTCTTAAAAAAGCAAGCAGCTTAGATTGTCCCCAAACTTAGCAAGCATATCTGAGATGAGAGTAAAAAATACCATGGTATAAATTAAGCAAAGTTTCATGGTTAACAAAATGACAAATTTTAGCTAAAATACCATTCGATCTGCTTAATTTCAATGCTAAGTCTTGAAGATGCGATGCAAAAGATAAATTAGAGTCTATTTTGATTCCAAGATATTTAATAGAGTTAACTGGATTTATTTTTTGGCCACTTAATCTGAAATTAAATTGCTTATTTATTTTTGTTTGAGCAGATTTAAATATAAAAATTTCCGTTTTTTTAGAGTTAAGAGATAATTTATTGGTGCGGAGCCATTGAACAACATTAGCTAGATCGTGATTCATATTTTTGTTAAGTTTTTTAAGTGATTTATTAATTAGGAGTAAGTTGGTGTCATCCGCGAAGTGATAAGCAGTAGAAAATTTAAAAGAAACATGCAAAACACCATTAAAAGATTTAGCTAGTCCTGAGTTGATACCAATAATTGAAACAAATTGTGTTCTATTACATAGATAAGAGGAAAACCAGAGAAAAGGAATACCTCTTATACCGTAGTGTTTCAATTTTTCTAAGAGGATTGTATGCTCAACTGTATCAAATGCTTTTCTTATCTCAATAAACACTCCACACGCAAAGTGTTTATTATCGATGGCTTGTCTAATTTTTTCGGTTATTTCTATTAATGAATGAGTTGTTGAGTGTTTAATTCCCTAAATATAACTTATCTATTACATTCTATTCGCCTGTTTGCTCTTTTTAAATGTTTCTGACTAAACCAATATTTTGATTAAACTCAAACCATTTATTACAATCACTAGCAGAAACAAAACTTTATATTTTGATCATTTTAAAAATGCAAACAATGTCTCAATGGAACATTTACTACATGTTTAATAGTTTGTGGAACATATGTTCAACAAATATGTTAAACTTTGCAAATTTATTTTTTGAAAAAAATACATAAAAATTATTTTATAATGGTAATAAATAAATGAATGATTTTAAAACAACGTCTTTTTAACGGAGTTTAACAGTGACAAAATACATCAAAAAAAAAAATTTTTCTTTAATTACAATGTAAATATAATGTATACAAAAAATATAATGCATAAAAATTAAATTTTTAATCTTATTTCACGCACAATACGAATTATAAATGGCAATCATCGAGTAAGTTTTGTTATGATTTTTTTGGGAACCTTTTGGGAACCTTTTGGGAACCTTATGGGAAACTCGTCAAATCCCCAGATTAATCGGCCCTGATAAAAACCAGATAAAACCCAAACGAGCAAATATGCTTGATTTTATTACCATATGGGACCTGTCTGAAAACCAAAACACTAACCCGTCAAAATCCCGTTCCCATAAGCCCAGACAAAAACCATAGGGTACCCGTCTGTCAATGTTGGCAGGGTATATATATATATATATATATATATATATATATATATATATATATATATATATATATATATATATATATATATATATATATATATATATATATATATATATATATATATATATATATATTTATTTTAGAAATAGATTATTTTTCACTTGCACAACAATTTCTATAAGCATCAGTACATCATTTATATTGAGGCTACCATGCATATCATATGCCTCTTTTAACATAACACCTAATAAATACTTTATGGGAGTCATCGAAACAACATTTTTTGCAGATAGTATAAATGATTGCGGTATTTACTGTGTTAGAAGCCTAAATTGTGTATTTGCAAACTATAACATAAATCAGCGCACTTGCCAAATAATGTCATCAAAAGCAAATTCTAAGGACAGTACAAACGACCAGCAATGGACAGTTCTAATAACTGATTCTACAAATAATAAAAATGTGAGTTAGTTATATTTTACGTTATTTTATGGTTTTTATTTAGATTTTTTAAATTAATTATGTGACTTTTATTTTATTAAATAAAACATTTAAAATTTTGATAAATATATTTTGTTGTGATTTCACCAGAAAACTTGTAATTCTAAATAATGACAATAATAAAACTATTAGTAATAGCAATAATAATATTAATAATAATAATAATAACAGTAATAAAAACATTTATTTAACTTAGTTTATGATATTTAACATGAAATTATTCTACTACTTTATTAGTAACCTTTTGAGTTGATTTTTTTTTATTAAACAAAACTTTTACGCAATTGAAGTATTTTTCTACAGAGGTATACTATAATTCTACAAACGTAAAAAAAATAGTATCAATTTAGCTTGGTCCTCTTTGTGAAAATAACACACCTTGTGGAAATCTATATTGCAGAGATGTATGCTCAACAGATGCTCTAGTTCACAAGTATCAGTGTTTAGGTACTTTTGAATTTATTTATTTTTGCTTAAATATTGATAATCGCTGTAGCAGAATAAAAAGTTTTGTCATCACAAAACTTTTTTTTTTGATATGCTACATTTTAATTTTGTTGTATAATATTTTATTTAATTTTCTTTATGCAATGAAAAAATGGGGCAAAATAAGTATCTATAAAACAATTTTTGACGTATTTATTGTGGTTATTGTTAGAGGAACAACTACATGGGTGGCTCTGGGCCTAAATATAAGGTCTCCGCAAAATTATTAGCGTCTAGGGTTTAAACCAATATGCTCTATAAAATATATCGGTATATATTTGTAACTTTGCAAATTTGTAACTAATAAAAAATTTATGACAAACTTTTAATTTTTTTCCCCAAAATTACCTGCCTGGCGTGGTGTATACTTAAGACTAAAATGTTATAGAGAGTTCTAAGACTAGATTTAGTTCCTAATTTTGCTTTAGCATTATACCATCATTCATACAAAAAATGTCCGGTTTATAATAAAAACGTCCATATTTATAATAAAAGGGACATTAGTAAATATTTTACATATAAATAAAAGTATTGTATCACTTTTTTAGTCGGTTTCTTAATAGAAAAAGTTTCTACTATTTCATTAAAGTTTATTTTATTTAAAAGATTACGCTCAATAAATATCAGTGGCTGATTATTTAATCGATTGTATGTTATTGTTAACCTTATTTCATTCTTAATTTGACTCAATTAATTGAGTAAAATTAAGAATGAAATTATATATATATATATATTATATATATATATATATATATATATATATATATATATATATATATATATATATATATATATATATATATATATATATAGTAATAGTATATATATAGTAATAGTATATATATAGTAATAGTATATATATAGTAATAGTATATATATAGTAATAGTATATATATAGTAATAGTATATATATAGTAATAGTATATATATAGTAATAGTATATATATAGTAATAGTATATATATATAGTAATAGTATATATATATAGTAATAGTATATATATAGTAATAGTATATGAGTTGCAAATAGGATACTGATCCTATAAAGTCACATAATGACAATAAACAGCTATCAATTAAATTGATTCTTTTAAATTTGTTAATTTTCGTTTGAGTGTGGGTTGTTTATTTCCATATGCATAACTTTACATTTTTCTAGGTTCAGCTTCATCAACCAAACTTTGGTCCATTCAGTAATTTTATTTAAATCAGTTTGAATGTCAGTGGTATCATTAAGAATAGTTTTTACTTGTAAGTCATTTATTAATTTCGAACCACATGCATATAGTTTTCTGACACATTTAAAATTGTCTAGCAAGTCATTGATGTAAATTTTAAAAAAATATTGGGCCAAAAACTGAGCCTTTTGGGACACCGTTAGTAACGTGACCCCAATCAAATATGTGTTCTCCAAGTATTGCTCTGTGTTTTCTATTAGTGAGAAAGTCTTTAATCCAATCAAGAAGTTCTGCAACTGTTCCATAAGCTTTAAACTTGATGATTAGCAATTTGTGAAAAATTGTGTCAAAAGTTTTTGAAAAGTCCACATACCACATCTATTGCACTTTTGTTAGCTAAAAGTCATCTTCATTATCATTTTCTTCATCAGTGTTTATTAGATGCTTTTTTTTTAAAATTTAAGTTGCTTTCCTCTAGATTTTTTTAATGGAGGTGATTCATCTAGGCTATCTTCATATGTTTCTGCATTTGAAGTATATGCCAGTATTTCAATTTTCCGAAATACTGGCATCATCATCATCAACAAACTATATTTATGTTGCAAGTAAAGCTATTGATTGGGATTTAACAAGTTTTTTTAATTCTCTTTCGCAACAGCTAAGTTGGTTTAAACTAGATTTGCATTATGTATATCAGTTTACGCACATTGTTATCTTTAATCAGAAAAATTGTTGTCAAACACGAATGAACGGCAATTTATTGATTATAAGTGTAGTCGACCAATACTTGAGTGTTCCTGAGATAGCAATTTTAACATCTGCTATGGTGCAAACTTTAAAAGATTTAATTATTGGCAGATACATTTTACTTGTTCAACTTTCCAGCGAGCCGTTGCAGTTAACAGAAATAAATATTTTTGTCTAACTTGATGCAAAAAATGGTATTTTTAAACATTTAAATTTATAATTTTAATGTATCTTTTTTTTATATTAGCTTTTATTTTGCTTACTATCATAGCGCATGTAAGATGCATTTTATAAACTTTTTTACTTACTTAACATGAAATTATGAATTTATGATCATTTTAGTTATTTCAGCTGATAAAAAAGCTTTTTTGAATTACTGTTCTTTTTCAATTCACAAAACACTTAAATTTTCTGCATAAAATATTTCTTAACAGGATAATGAAGGATTATTTTTTATTATTATATTTTTTTTTTCATTTGCCGTGTAATATTATATACGACAAGATTTATAATATTATACGGGTAGGAATTCGAGAAT